TGTATAAGAGACAGGAGTAAAGGTTATTTTGAAAATTTTATAAATTTGGAATAATTTTTATTGAATGTTTTTATTTGGATAGGTTAAATTATTTAATGTGATTCATTCGCCGTCTATTGCAATTACTTATGTAATACGGATATAAATAAAGTGATATGGATATAAATAAAGCGGACTAATATAAAGTGAGTGTTCGTATGATACGAATACCCGTGTGATACGGGTACCCGCGTGATACGGGTACCCGCGTGATATACGGGTACCCGTGTGATACGGGTACCCGCGTGATACGGGTACCCGAGGAATCGGTTCTTACCCGTGTGCAATGAATGACGGGCGGGCGGGCGATTCTCAAATTTTCTTGTTACCCGGTTCTTTTTCCGAGCACTAATTATGAAATTATAACAAAATATAAAATAATTAATCAAAATTGAACAAATAAAAAAAAATAACAGATATAATTCCTCTCTTCTTTTTTAATCTTTTTTATTGAATTGTATGTTATTTATTACATTCTGAAATGCAATCTATTTACATTATTATTCAATATTTAAAATGTTCAGATACACGGAGATGCTGCCTATCCAGGGCAAGGAGTTAATCAAGAATGCTTAGTTTTAAGCAAAACGCCACATTTTGAAATTGGTGGTACAATTCATTTGATAATTAATAATCAATTAGGTTTTACAACTCCATCTTCAAGGAGTCGATCATCAAAATATTGCACAGATTTAGCAAAAATTATATCTGCACCTGTAATTCATGTAAATGGTGACAACCCTGAGGTAATCATTGATATAAAATTCCGTCTATTCTCTAATATTAATAATAACTGCAATTATAATTTTAAAATATGTCGTAGATGGTTGTACGAGCTGCACGAATAGCTTTTAAATATCAAAGACAATTCCGAAAGGATGTATTTGTTGATCTAAATTGTTTTAGAAGATGGGGTCACAATGAACTAGATGATCCTACAATCACTAATCCCCTCATGTATAAAATTATACAAAATCGTGCGTAAGTATATACAAGTTATGAAAAAAAACTTTTAGTTTGAAAAAAAAAGTTTAGAGATACATAATATTAAAGATAACAATGAATTAGAAAAAGGCATTAAGAGTCAACACGCAGAACTCGTTGCGTAAAAATTTTCATAAAAATTATATTTAAATATTGGCAATTTATATCTTACATATCTATCTCATCTTACATATCTCCCGTACGTTTCGGCCTCCTTCAGGCTTTCTTCAGCGATGAATAAAATAATAAATTAATATAAAAACTAGGCTCTAATGAATAAATCGAATATAGTAAAATAATTGCCTATAAGAGTCGACACAGGTGTTGGTGTGTTAAATTCTTATTGTTACAATATCCAACCACACGCGATCTGCGCGCCGCATGGTTTTTCGGACTTAAAACATAGCTCTTTGCATGAAGTCGAAAACTTGTAATTTATAATTAAATTGACGAACAATTTAATATCTTTTAATGCTAATATGCATCTATAAGATTCCCCTCCCTCCAAGCCTGTAAAGAAACTTATTGCGAAAAGTATTAACAATAAGAATTTAACACACCAACATCTGTGTCGGCTTTTATAGACAATTATTTCACTATATTAAAATAATAAAGTTACGCAAAAATCAAAATTATTCCACTCATAAACGTCACAATGTTCCGCAATGTGTGAAATATGGGTCTCCAATTTTAAAATTAAACGCGAAAATCATCTATGTGAATAACAATATTGTAAATTAAATAGGAATTTTAGTTAATGACAATTTCGAAGCTCCATTTACTCTATTACTACCATTACGAAACAAGTCAAGATGAATGTAACTGTTCGCGCTTCGATCAAATCGATCTTCGATATCGATTCGCTCTCGTAATGGCTAGGAACTTTGATATCGCGGCGCTGACAACCGCTGTAGAGGGAGTTGTGAATTCGATCTAATCCGACGTGATGTGTGTAAAGTAGAAAATGAAGGCGTGATATTAAGATGTGTTGTAAGAAGAAAAGAATAAACGACTATATAATTTGTTCTGGAAATCGATTTCAATGTCTATCCCGTACAGTAACAAAAAGCACTCACAAAGAGTGACTAAAAAAAGAGGAGTTTATTATAAGGTACCATTTAGCATACAGTTTAGTTCTAAAACCGAGAGCCCAAAAAACGGACAATTTTTTGGGTCACTCTTTAACGTTATCAGTGCCGTAACTAGTTATCTTTACGCCCAGTGCGAACTTAAAATTTTGCGCCCCTCCCCCCTCTTTCGCCCCAGTTTCCCATTCACTTAAATATTATAAATAGATGTAGATCATTTTGCTATAATAAATAAATATGTTATCCAGAATGCACCACATGGAGGCGATATACGTTATTAAAAAAATATTTATTTTTAATTAAAAAAAAACTATTTACACTACTGGTCAAAGTTTGTTCACCCTCAGTAAATTTTTGCTCATTTTTAAACTTTAGATTACTCAGCAAATAATTGACGTAAAAAATAGATAAAAAAAGAATTTTACAGGGCAAACTCTCTACTATAAGATGCCTTTGTTCAATTTTTACTCACTTTAATACTCAAAGACTTGATCATGCTTTAAATAAAGACATATTTGATACATCTAAAATCTCGAAATTTGTAATCTTAGAACAGTCTAACAAAAAAATTGGCAAAAATAATCGTTGTTTCCATCTCAAAGTACGGACTTTGCTCTTTCAAATAAAAAAAAACCTTTCCCTACTATAGCAAGATGAAAATAACTAAAGTTTGTTTGTAGAATTATTTATTAAAATTCGTACACGTCTTAACGGCTCGCGACTCACAATCAATCTGACGATTTCCTTTTTCACTATTCATTTCTCTAATAACCCGTTACCATGGATTCACGCTTTAATATTATCGGAACACATTACGCGACTTTTCAATGTTCGATTACGCGACTTTTTTATGTTCAATTACTTTGACTACACTACGCTGATTATTTAGCAAGATATTGCAATTTTAAGTAATCTTTGTTTTTTTCGATTTTAGCACAATATATAGTAAAAAACGTAAAAATCGTAAAAAAATGTATAATAGATTATTTGAAATTGCAATATCTTGTTAAATAATCGGTGTAAGAAAAATTTTTTTGAATGAAGTAACCTCCATTTTTTATGATTTTTTTACGATATATTGTGCTAAAATTGTTAAAAAAACAGAAGTTACTTAAAATTGCAATAATTTGCTAAATAATTAGCATAGGAAAAAGGTTTTTTTTTTAATTTGAAAGAGCAAAGTCCGTACTTTAAGATGGTACCAACGATTATTTTTGCCAATTTTTTGTTAGGTGGTGAAAGGTTACAAATTTCGAGATTTTAGATATGTCAAATACGTCCATACAGCACAGAACGATTGCAGCAAAAGATCGGAAGAGCACACGT